GCTGGTGGTAGCAGAGGAAGAGGGAGGCCCCCACTGCGATGGAAAGATCAGGTGGAGAAGGACTTGGCTTCACTTGGCGTTTCCAATTGGCGTCAGTTGGCACAGAGGAGAAACGACTGGCGTGCTTTGCTGAACTCGGCCAAAATCGCTTAGGCGGTTACAGCGCCAAAAAAGAAGAAGAAGAAGAATAATGTTGGTTTTATCAAAGTTGATTGTTAGGTCCATTTGGCCGCAAATTTCATTGAGTTTCTCCAGTTTCTGCTTTAATTGTGTTTTTGCAGCGTTGAAATCACTGTTAGCCGTTATTAAGAAGAAGTCATCAGCGAATTGAAATAGTGTGGTTTTATCATCGGATACTTGGTGCAGTTTCGTTGTGTATAGGTTGAATAACAGTGGACTCAGTCCACTTCCTTGGAGTAAACCTCTATTGGTTACTATGCTTTCCTTTCCAAGGTGTAGTGTTCTTCTGAAGAGGAAGTCATTAATCCACCTGACTACTGCTTCTTTTATGTTTGCTTCATTTAATATGGTTGTTAAGGTTTGAATATTTACAGTATCATACGCCTTAACGAGGTCAATCTCTGCACCTACTACATGTTTACCCATGCTTTTCAAATGTAGAACCGTGTTAATAACGTCGTTGATGCATTGTGTTGTTGATCTCCTCTTGCGGAAGGCGTATGACCTAGAGGGTAAAAGTTGGTATTGATCAACATGGTCGTCAAGATGATATGTTGATAGTAATGATATTGGTCTGTAACTCTCCGTTGTGGCTGTGTCTTTATCGGGCTTCAATATTGGTATTATTTTAATATGCCTCCATTCCTCCGGTTTTTCCCCCTCGTTCCAAATATTTTTCAATATTCGGAAGAGTGCGTGTTTTTCTGTCTCTTGAAGTTTACTAATCATACGGTATGATAATCCATCCAATCCCTTAGCTGAATCCGGTTTCCTGCTTTTTAAAAAGGTCTCAAAATTTTCAAATGTCAGTTCCGGTAAGTCGTATCCAGTGTAAGTATAATCATTAAAGGCCGGTGAATTGTGGTCATTGCAGGTAGTATTTGATGGTAGTGTTATCATAGTTAAAAAGTAATTTTTTTGTATCTTTAGTCCAAGTGTTGTTCGTTCTTTTAGGACAGCTATATTTTTTTAAGATATTAGTTTTATTCTACATCTGTTTACTGTCTTTTGTATTCGATATCTTATCTAGTAGTATATTAAAATTTTCTCTGTTGCTTGTGGTTATTTGATTTTGTAGATTTGTTTGCGCTTCCGATAATTTATTTAGATTTTCCAATGTTCTATGTTTTTGGTATCTGGCTCTTGCATTGTTTCTTATTCTATATAGTTTGTCAATGTCTTTATTCCACCATTTTTTTGCTTTGTATTTATTATTGCTATTAATTTGTATAGTGTTATCTTCTATTAGTTTATTTATGTTACTATTGAATTCCTGCAGATTATGGCCTATTTCCATATTAGTATTTCCAATAATAATTTTGTTGTTTTAAATTTTTGAGGAATTGCAATTTTCCCGCATGTGATTGTTATTTATTTCTATTTTAATTGGTTGATGATTACTGGTGGTTATTTTAAGAGGTAAAGAGGTTGCAAAATGTTACGTCCGGGTGTGTTTTAATGTCGTCGACTATGTACGTGGGGTTTCCGTCGTTCAAGCATTCGAACTCATAGTATGTTGCTAGATTTTCGAGGATACTACCTTTAGTGTCGATAGTATTACTAACCCATTACATTGACTTGCTGTTAAAATCCCCTGCCAATATCGACTTATGTTTTAAGTTTTTCGCCTTTAAAAATGTTTTTTCTAACTCCTGTTTAAATTCTGTTGTGGCCACATCTGGTGGGCAGTATATGCTGAAAACATTGAAGTTCACTTTAAGATTCAGTGTTGTGATGCCATTTATATCGGCGTTGGTTATGAGTTTAATTACTGAAAATTTGATGCCTTTGTTTACGTATATGCCTACACCACCATATCCATCATCGCGATACTTGCCGACGAAGTCAAAGTTTTTTAAAGACGTGTTGCTATTATTTGTCAACCATGTTTCGCTAAGAATTGCTATATCGATATTTTTATGTATTAACGTTAATTCAAGCAGTTCTTTATTATTTTGTTTTTTTCAGACTTTGAATATTGAACTGTAGTGTTCTCATGGAATTGATCCTCCAAACATCCGCTCTACTATACATTTGTTTTAGTCCCTCCTGGATACTGGCTAAAAATTCGTAATGTTGTTTGTTTGTAATGTTCTTCTCATTACTTGTTAGAAAATTAGATATCGCCTGGTTAATTTGTGTGGCTATCTCGTCTTGCTTCTGTAGATGTAACATGAGATCCTTGGGATAAGCTAATTCCTTATGTTTAGTATCGATATTGTAATCTTTAGTAGTTTGTCTCCATTCATTCATAGTTCTTTCATCTTTCTCCAGCTCTCTTTGTCTATTCAGGTTCATTTTAGTAATCTTTGCGTACGGGAGTAGCTTGTGCATAGTCCTTGCTGCTTCTTGGACATTATTTAGTGTTTTTGTTTGTTCTTTGTTAGGAAGTGCCGGGAAGTTAGAGACATCATCGTCTAGGCGTTGGAAGCGATTTCCAAATAGTTTCGCATACTTAGTTCGTGCTTCTTTGATGTGCAAATTTTCAATAGTCATTATTTTTTTGATAGTGTGAGCCTTAATTCTTCTGTTTGTTAGTGCAAGTTGTATCCTTCCCATGTGATTCGCTACATAGTGGGCAAATTAAGTCTGTCTGTTTGCAGTGTTGTGCAAAATGATTGTATCGGAAGCAGCGATAGCACTGCGCGAATGGGATATAATATTTAACTTTAATTTTAGTATACATATAGCTAATTTCCGATGGTATATTTAGTCCGTCAAATATTACTTTGACACGTTTGGTCGGGACTTTCTCGCCGTTCTCTTTTCTCTTCACTCTTAGAACTCCCAGTATTGGTACTGGTGAACTAAGTCCTTGAAGTAATTCCTGTTCCGATAGGTCTGTTGGAATATCAAAGATGATACCCATTTTGGAAACGCACTGTGCAAAGATTTTTGTCTCATATAGGTGTTTTTTGATATTTTCATTCTTGTAGAATTCATTTTCTGCACTGCCATTTCTGAAGGAGATTTTACATCTACCATAACCAACTTTGATTACATCTTCAACATCAGGTACTTGTAAGGTACTAAGTATTTTGGAGACCGTAATAGCGTTAATTGGCATTCGCTCTCTGTTAATATCCGTTTTACCCAGGCATAGTACGGCCCCTTATGGTTCATATTGTAAAAATAGTTCCACTTACTTGGTTGAATGTCTGTCATATTTACTTCCTACGAATTTGCATTGGCCACTGCAGGGGTATCTAGCTTCCCTTTTTTTGGTTTCCTGCCTCAATCTACTGTTGCTTCGGCTCCTACATTTTGTCTTGGCTAAGGGGCCATCCGAGCCCCCGCCACTATTCTCCAACTTTGATAGGGATCTCTTAAATTTAATCTTAGTTCCTTTTTTCCGATATCTACAAGTCGTAACAATATCAGTACACAAAAGGAGATGATTTGCGTAATTTTTCCGCTTAAATTACTATTTTTATTGAATTTAAAGAAATTTCGCAATTTCCGAGAAAAATTATTCGCGGGTCCACGGTATTGCCAGCGGGCAAAAAAAAGGACATTTAATTCATAAGCAGTTGTTATACTTACAAAATGTTTAGATGCGATAGAAAGAAAACAAAACCAAAATAAATACCAAATTCGCAGTTCTGATGGGGCGATTATCAACTATCGATTTTTAAACTACAAATATGCAAACGTTTCGATAAAACATAATGCGGGTACCTATTGGCATCAAAGCCTTGGTAATCAATTACGTATTGAGTAACAAAATATATTCGAAATGTGTGTGGCGTTATTTATGCAGTTGGGAATGTTGCTATGATCAACGAGGAAAGAGCTACAATGAGTATAGATTAAAATCTTATAAAAATATGTACATGATAAATAACTAATTGTGCAATTTCTTAGGTATGCAAGAGTGACATCTGTCTGTTCATTCAAGCATTTGAATATCGCTCCTCAAGTAAAGAGAGAAATACCCAACACAAGCGGCTTGACAAACCAAGCGAAATATCCCTTTGCTTTAAGACATTTGCGTTGTGTATGAGGGTGTTTGAAGGTTTGACAAGCCGTTTGAGGGAAATTTGAACAAAAATCAAGATGTTCGGATTTTCCGGCCGGCTTGTTCACGATTTGTCAAACCACTTTCTTTGAGAATAATTGATAAATTCGCCTCATTTGCAACGGAATTTTCACCCTGTGAAGACGTAAGAGAGGAAAATGGAACAAAACAATAATTTTTAACATTGTGGACCGGAAGAAAACTAAAATTCTTTGGTTCAACGAGTCATGTTGGCATGTTGTATGACGAAATGGGAAAAGTAGGTTTGAAGTATGTTTGACAAGCCGCTTGTCTGGTGTCATTTTTGATAACAATGAGTTCGATTATGTGTTTGATAAAATGGTCGATTCATTGTGTTCGATAGCGTCGCACATATCTATCAAGACAATATGGTTGAAATCATGATACAAAAAAGAAGGTAGATCCATTGTCACTTTTTTGTCGCCATATTAACAACCTGACAATTAAGTAGATTGTGACATTTCGTGCTACCATACCCAGTATCCAAAACCCTCCAAATTGTGTTATTAATTTTCTGGTTATTTACAAACATTTTGTTCTTAGAATCGAAATTTGAACAGCAAAAGGTATATTGTTGGGTACGGCTGGGTTACTTGTACAATAATTTTAGGTTAATGTGTCCAAATGCTTAACCCAAAGCAAAAAATTTTGACATTCACGTGTGGTCAAACAATTACACGTTAGTTTAAAATAAAGATTGCTAACTTTCGGATACAAATTTATGAATAAATTCGGTTTGAAATATGGACCTTTTTAAAAAAAAAAATATTGTGGTCAGCGTAGCCGGAGTTGGACCTACATTTTCTCTGTAAAAATTCTAATTTTACCCAATTTTTTAATGGGTCCGTCTCCGCTTGCCACCCCAAAACCATTGAACAAATAATCGAACATTTCCCCTTTTGTTTTTTTAAAGATAAGAGGTCTAATGCTTAATAAGTTTATAATTGTGTATCTAGTTTTCATACTAACAATAAATCATCAATTTTGTTTCACACCCCCTCTAATATTGAACAGTAAAATATATTTGTTTTACCCACAGGAGCAAGGATATTGTCGAAATATAATAGAATTAGATAATACTCACTTCACTGAAAGTCATGAGGCCCATGCGTCACAAAGTAAATTTCGTTTTCAAGTTACTTGAAAGACATGGGCAAAGACAATATCGAAATTATAATTTCAGTGTCTGAAATATATCAGAAATATCCGATATAGAAAACTGTAATAGTCTTGGCTAGCTCCATTGTGAAATAATCAGATGACATAATGACATTAAAGAATTTTAAAATATGTTCACTAAAATTTTATTAATGTAAAAATAAAGATTTTGGCAAGTAGTTATCGAATTTAATGTAAAATTTAAACATTTTGAAGAAAAGATATTAATTATTTTTAAAAGGTAAATGTTAATACAACTATTTTATTTATACTCCCAAATTTAGGATATAAAATCCCCTCTACCAAAATACTAAAATTGGGCAACGCCGCTTCGAATTTTTTACAATTGTGCAATTGTCAAAAATCTCCTTTTTAATCAAAAAGTTGTTTACTGAAACTACCTTCTTTTTTGTATCATGGTTGAAATCATTGATGCGTTCGTTCGAAAAAGTTGTGAAGAATTTGTGATTTAACGTGTGTTAAAAATAATTGAATATTTCTAATTTAAAGCTTGGTAAATATGAGTAGCAAAAGGCATCTAAGGAGACGTGTTAAAAACAAAGGGAATTGTATAGTCACAATATATTAGGATCAGTTCCTAAAGCAAATAGTGAAGCAGGGCCTTCTTCAAGCTCTTCAACGGAAAATTGCGCAGTTTCAAGCGCACGGGTAGATTCTGATTATGATCATCCTGAGCAATACAGTTTAGACTTGGATATACATTTAGGGCCGGTTACTCAATGTCTGGTTAACACTAATCTGCGGTTAAACATCGTTATCGACGTCTTCGACTCCATGCATACAACAGGGAGTCGGTAACGTCGATAACTATGTTTAACCGGAGATAAGTGTTAACTCGACATTGAGTAACCGGCCCTTAGAATCGCGGAATTTATCTTTAGAATGTGAAAAGCCGCGTTCTTTTAAGGAAAAAATTTTAGATTGGTGTGTTGAATACCAACCGCCACGTAAATCTTTCGAGAAGCTTCTGGCTATTTTACGCGACGAAAATTTGGATGTACCGCGAAGCGCGAGACCCTTTATAGGAAAAAAAGAGAATAGGCAATTATTAAAACTGTTGCACCCGGGTTATATTGCCATATTGGCTTAAAAAAAAAAACAAATAGAAAAAATTGATTATATATTGGGAGAAGTTGACGAAGTTTCTATCGACATAAACATTGATGGTTTGCCATTATATAAAAGTTCGCGTGCTCAATTGTAGCCAATTTTAGTTAGATTAGTACAATTTAAAAATGTTTGTGTTTTTCCTGTGGGTATTTATCTAGGCAAAAAAAAACCAGATGATATTTTTGGTTATTTGAATCCTTTTGTTGAAGAAATGAAACTTTTATTAAACAATGGTCTGGACTTGGGTGGAAAAACAATAACAGCTAATATTAGAGCATTAATCTGCGATGCGCCCGCTAGAGTTTTTATATGCGGCGCGCCTAGCCATGTATCTTCGCACGGCTGCAGCAAATGTACGCAAATCGGAAAGAAACAAAACAATGTGCTAGTATACAGTTCTGAGTCAGGTGATCTTATTACTGACAGTGATTTCTTTAGTAGAAAATATACGACACATCACTTACATAAATTTAGAAATGCTAAGACACCATTTGAAAACATAAAGTTAAAAATGATAAGTCAAGTAGCATTAGATTGCATGCATTTGCTTGATTTGGGGGTAATGCGTAAATACTTATTAAGAAAAGTACAAGATAAAGTAAATTTGAAAGTTGAAAGATAAAGAAATCAAAAATGTCAGAACTTTTAGAATCATAAAACCGTATATACCAAAGGAATTTGTAAGAAAGCCCAGAACATTCAACGAAATTTCAAACTAGAAAGCAACAGAGTTTCGTCAATTTCTTCTTTATACAGGAGTTAACAATTAAAAAATATATATATTTTTTTTATAAAATATGAAAAAATTCTTACAATTAAATTTTTTTTCCACAGTTTCTGAAAAATAACAATAATTAATGGTTTGATAAGCATATTTTGTATCTAAGTTAATTAATTTACCTTGCAAAGTTTTCAGTCCCTCCACCAAGGATTTACAACTCTCGCATGCTGGAACTGCTTTCTTATCTACATAGAATAGAACATTTGTAATTTTTGTAGTTTATGTCTATAGTATATTAATATAAAACTTACACGGTGTTGCTATGTTTTCCGAATCTGCTAAAACTATTATCTTGATTTTCTTTGACATTGCGTATTTTAACCGCGTTGACTTTTTTGAAAAGTTGTTAAAAAGTGTGATTTATTTACAGATTTTGATATTTACAGATTAATTAATAGTACCCATACAAAAGTGGCAGAAGTGGCATACTGTCATAACAAATACCAATTAACTTACATTCTATTTTTTCTATAGGATAATAAACTTCCGTACTATCTAATGAGCAATCAGCTGTACATATACCCAGTGTAAACGAATCGACTGGTTCACAAAAAAAAGCTTCTTAAATTTGTAAATTTTTTCCCTATAACAAATTTTTGTCTTCAGAAAATCTTTGAATTTCTATTGGTTCATAAGTATGGATAAGGCAATAGCTGTCAGGTTGTTTTGAACAAAATATATAATCATTGAAATAAAAACATAAACCTTTGATTTTTAGTTCTTTAAATCCATAGGGTTTATCTTTTCTGAGCAATCGTTCTTCAAACTGTCTGACAAACTGGAATTTCCAAAAATTGTAGAAAAGTTTTGAACAAACAACGATAGCAAATTTTCAGTAGTACCTAAATTGTTCATATATGATTTTGGACAAATAGCATCCTACATGAGCCATGCAAGAGCAAAAATTCATAATAAAGATCATCATGAACATTGTATTTCAAAACAAGAACTCCTGTATAAAGAAGAAATTGACGAAACTCTGTTGCTTTCCAGTTTGAAATTTCGTTGAATTTTCTGGGCTTTCTTACAAATTACTTTGGTATATACGGTTTTAAGGATTCTAAAAGTTCTGACATTTTTGATTTCTTTATCTTTTCAACTTTCATATTTACTTTATCTTGTACATTCTTAATAAGTTTTTACGCATTACCCCCAAATCTAGCGAATGCATGCCATCTAATGCTACTTGACTTATCATTTTTCGGTTTGTGTTTTCAAATGGTGTCTTAGCATTTCTAAATTTATGTAAGTGAAGTGTCATATATTTTCTATTTAAGAAATCACTGTCAGTAATAAGATCACCTGACTCAGAACTGTATACTAGCACATTGTTTTGTTTCTTTCCGATTTGCGTACATTTGCTGCAGCCGTGCGAAGATACATAGCTAGGTGCACCGCATATAAAAGCTCTAGCGGGCGCATCGCAGACTAATGCTCTAATATTAACTTTTATTGTTTTTCCACCCAAGTC